TTTGTATTTTCCGCACTGCGCCTCCTCTGAGTCTGGGTATGCTGTTCTCTTTCCTTCTAGTTGAAGAATTTCCCCTCAGCCAGCTTTCCTGTGGTTCTGGGTGATGTCCGTTCCGTCTTTTAGTTGTATTTTTGAAGTGGTTGTTCGAGGCAGCAAACTCCGGTGTTTACCTATGCTGCCATCTTGGTTCTCCCAGTCTAAAATCTTAATAGTTTTGGATGCCAATTAAAGTGTACATAGTAGAATTGATTAAAACAAAACAAGAAGCAAAGGAATTTCAGACTTATTAATTGATCCTGAGGGCTCTACCTTAATTTACAAATGTTGGATATTCTTAAGGATAATCAAACCTTGCAGCAGAAGTATATACTAACTGAAGTTATAGCTCTGTACCTATAAGATGAATGAAAAACAAAACTTTCCTAATCCTATGCTAATGAGCATTTTAGCCTAAGATAAAATATTCAATAATAGTATTGTGAATAATTCTTAAATAATATAACATACATTTCACTTTGATAAAAATTAAGATGAAATGCTCTAGAAACTACTTTATCAAAAGGGGCTCTGGTATATTCACATAAAGCCTTGTACACAATTGTTCATAGTGGCATTATTCATAATAGCCAAAAAGTGGAAACAGCCCAATGTCTATTGACTAATGATTAGATAGTAAAATATGGTATAGCCATGTAATGGAATATTATTCAGCAGTAAGATGGAATCGAGTGGTGGTACATGCTGTAATATGGATGAGCTTCAAAACTGTTATGATAAAAGGAAAGAAGCCAGATACAGAAAACCACTTACATAAAACTAGGGGCCCAGTGTATGAACTCATGCGCCTTGAAAGGAACTGTGGGCCACGAGGCTGTGGTGGGCACAGGGCTGGGTCTCTGTCCATCCTCCACACCCCCGCCCAGCCTCTCCCGCCTTGGCCCCCGGCCCCTCTGCCAGCAGCCCCATTCCTGCCACTCCCATGTGCTGACAGTGCCGGCCGCACTCGCACCCACTGACAGCACGGAGCAGTTGGGGCCGGCGCCAGCAGCAGGTACAAGCGGCTACTGCCCCAATCACCCCTCAGGAGCAAGGCGCGGTGGAGAAGCCCTCAGGCATGATCAGGGCCAGCAGCAGGCAAGAGCAGAGTTGGCACTAGCAGTGGATGTGAGCAGCAGCTCCGGCACTGGCAGTGGGTGCGAGTGCCTGGCGGGACCGCAGCGCACAGGAGCAAAGAATTTTCAGTAACCACTAGAGGCTTGCCCTGATGACAGCAACCAGCGACCCACCTTGATCTGGCACTCCCACTCACCTGCTCCACCATCCCACCTGCTGCGGAAGCGTGCCATGTTTCACATGCACCCCCTGGTGGTCAGCACGTTTCACTTTCCCCCCCTGTTTGTCAGCACACATCATAGCGATTGGTTGTTCCACCATTCAGTCTATTTGCGTATTAGGGTTAGATAGATAGATAGATAGATGATAGATAGATAGATAGATAGATAGATAGATAGATGATAGATAGATAGATAGATAGATAGATAGATAGATAGATAGATAGATCGATCGATCCAGAAAAGGCAAAGCCTTCATGGGAGGGATCATGTTACTACAAATGGACACTAGGGATCTTTTGGAGTTGATGGGAATATTCTAAAATTGCATTGTGGTAACAGCTGAACAACTCTGTAAATTAATTGAAAAGTATTGAATTATACACTTACAACAGCTGAATTTTATGACAAATTTTATTCCTTAGTACAGCTTTTTTTAAAAAGTGATTCTAGTAGTGCCAGAGACATTGCTATCAAAGATGCAAATTGTAGTATTAAAAAATAGATTTTACTTTTTTATCTATTTTGAAAAGTTTACATATCCAGAATTATAGGTGTGTTTTTTTTTAAAGGAGAACCACTTTATTTTGAGTGGTGTAAATAAAACTTGATTTATAACATAATAAGCATACCTTCCATAAATTTCTTCACAGTCCAAAGAATAAAACGTCTGGCTTAATTAGAATTTACATTTTGCCTTAAATATTCCAAAATCTATCCATGTCAACTTTGGAAATTTAATCGTGCTTGATAGAATGAAATAGGATAAACTGTGATCAGTGGCCAAATCTGAAAGGCAAGAAGACATAAAATTATCTGAACAATTCTATTAGGATACTTTTTAAAAAGTAGTATATACTAACTCTTAAATACATTTCTGTCTTAGTACCAGCTACCTAATGGTGTTAGAAAATAATTGAAAATTTTGTACTTTATCCCCAATATAAATTTTTTTAACAAAGTCATGTTGAAACATTTCTATTTTTCCAACATCATTGGAATTTACAATTTAATAATCTAGGTTTATACTTCTTTTAGGACCCAGGAAAAAAAAGAAAAGAAACCTCAGTGACTCCAACCTATTTGTATCTGCTGAAGAGGTAAAGGGTAATGTACTACTTTGAGAAGTTAGCTATTCAGCATTGTTTTAAGTTTTCTGATAAATGTATTCCCCCACCCTTTCTTTTTTTTAAGTTTGGCCACCTATTGGATGAAAATATGGGATCCAAGTTTGACAACATTGGCATGAATGCCATGGCTAACAAGGATAATGCGAGTAAGTAACTTGAATTTTTCTGCTAAGTGACTTTATAAATGGTTTTTAGACATTTTAATTTTTTCTGATAGTCATAGTTACTGGCCTCTGTTTTTTGCCAGTAAAAAGGGTTCAGGGGAAATAAAATCTTTAGAGCATTTGTCCCTTTCCTGTTCTGGCCTTTTATAAATAAAATGGTAATCTTTGACATTAAATACAGAAGGAAAGTAACAAATAAGCAGGGGATTTGCATTGTGGTTGGGAAACAACTGTAGACCCTGGCAGACCAGAAGCTCCTGTTACTCAGTAGGATGTTCTGTGGGCCTCCAAAAGTCTACAGTGGGGTGTGCTCATCTTTCTTCCCCCCAACAGGTCTCAAACAGCTTAGGTGGGAGGCTGAACGTGATGACTGGCTACACAACAGAGACGTGAAAAGTATCATCAGGAAAAAGAAAAATTTCAAAAAGAAGAGGCCAAAAGCACCTCAAAAAATTAAAAAGCAAAGAAAATGAGTGTTTTCTAAATAAATTATAAATTCAGATTGTACTTACTCCTTACTTTTGTTGTTCAACCATTTTTCTTGATCTTGCTGTCTCACTCCATACATTCCAGAATATTCAATGGATTTGTAATAAACTGTAAATTAAAAAATAGTTGTCATTTATAAAATCATGTAAAATGTTAAAATTAAACACTATCTACACTAATAAAAGAGAAACATGGTAATTGGCGTACGACCGCTACCCTTTTCATTGGCTAATCAGCGAGATATGCAAATTAACTGTCAGCCAAGATGGCGGCCGGCAGTCAGGCAGCTTGAAACTAACATGAGGCTTGCTTGCCTCAGTGACGGAG